ATGGAGAGATTTAATAGCATGTCATCAATCTGATTGGAAGATGTCGCATGTTTCTGTTTATTAATTTTGAATTGATCAATATTGATCTTCTTTCATTCACAATTAATCAATAAGCGCTCAACTGTCGGTGCGCTCAACTGTCGGTGCGCTCAACTGTCGTGCGCTCAATCGTCTGCGCTCAACTGTCGGCACTCAACTGTCGTGTGCTCAACTGTCGGTGTACCAATATACTGATTGCATGTGTACGGCAAAATCGCTGTAAAACTACGGTCATAAAACACCGACCTTGATTACGACTGACAACAGTAAGTGTATAGTCGTGCACTGCCCGTATCTGGTGACCGCATTCTATCGTTCGGGTAGCTGTCGCAGACCCATTTTACACTGTAGTATACCGTAGCTTGGCGCAATATAATAATATTTAATATACGCTGTGGGCATTTCTATCAATACAATCATATTTTGAGGTGTACATGAGGGGTTGGATGTCAGTAACGATAAAACTGTTACACCCACACCCACACCCTTTTTTATGATTATTTTTAATTTCAATGAGTGGGTGTACCAAAACGATTGCGGCACTTTTGTTTTGTATATATCTTGGCCCAGAAAAGGGCTTTAGTTCCCAGTGCTTGTAAAAGATGCGCCGTCAAATTCTCTAAAAGATAGAGCCCAGCAGTTCTACCCAATACTCGGAATCCCGGTTCCGGTTTCGGTTCCTAAGAATAAAACAAAATGCATCCAGCTTGGGTTCTTAAATCATTGTTTGGAACTGTTGTTTAATAATAATGTATGAAATCAATGACTTTTTTACAAATAATAACTATATGTAAAGACAATATTCACACCTATGTTTTTTATAGAAAATTATTCTTTTTTTCCGTTTTGTGATGCAATGAGAATTCAAATTAATACGTAGATGGAAATCTAACTAGAGTAGTTGAAGCTACGAAAATTGTAAAACAAAGGTGGCTCTAGTTATCAGTGAAATAAATAACGGTTCCAACGGTTCCGGGTTACAGAATCTTAAAAATTTCAGTTCTCCGTTGTTTTTTCTCGGGAACCAATGAGCTCTTCTACAAGACCTATATCAAGATTTTCTTTCAAATTCCTGTGATGGCTCTGGGGAAGAATCGACATGATAATATGCCTAAAACCGCTACTTCCCATGATTTCAAAGATGATAATTATGTTTCAAACCTAGTGGTGCAGATGTTTCTTTATTTCAAAACAAATACTTTCATGATGTAATAATAAAAATACTTCTTAGGAAGCCACAATGAAGTACTTTCGACCTTAAGAATGTTCTTCGAAAATCATTTAACCATCCGTTTTTTCGACGGAACAAACTCGTCGAAGAAAATCGCCGATCACTTTTCGCAAATAATTCAGATCGATTTGTTTTTTGGCACGACTTTTTGATCTCGCGCTTCAGATTATCCATTGTTTCGACCTTTTCATAATCGATGTTTCGATCCCCACTGTCCTATATAGAATAACAGAGAGGATTTGACTCAAAACAGTTCGGCGGCCATTGCATTTTCTGTATAAATGCGTGTAAGTGTTCTCTATTCCAATTTTACATTCTTTTGTCAGTAAAAGAGGCAGCGTCGTCCTGCTATAGACACCAGCCCATATGTCCGAATAGTCGATCTTTCTCAGCCTTGTAAAATGGTAGCAATTCATCACAGTACATTATACCATTCATACGGTGATCCTTTTCAAAAAAGAAGGGCGTTGTGAGTAGAGACCTGCGGGACAAACTTTTGCCTGTCCCGTTCCCGTTTGTCCCGTGCCGAATTTTTTTTGAATTGTCCCGTGAAATCCCGTTTATCCCGTTGACAAAAAAAAACGTTTAGAAGTCGTTTCGTTCCGTCAAAGAGAATAAGACGGCATTTTTATACAACCAATAGAAAAATACACATACGTTTACATGATTGGCAGATAAATAAAGGCATTGTATAATAATTTCAAGAATTAGAAAATAGTATGTCAATTATTTTTTCTAATTGTTTATATTATTAAAATAATCTTTTCTCTCTGTTTTTTAGTATCATTACTATGTCATGTACTGTACGTAAAGAACTCTTTTCTAAACAATATTACCAGAACTTGATAGTAACTAAAGATTCATCAATTAAACTGAAAAAACCACCAAGTGCACGATCTGAATTATGGTCAAATTTTTCACAAGTATACCATTCAGATATTGCTCAAGATTATATCGTGTGCCATGAATGTCATATTGTGCTAAAATGGACAAGTGAAACAGGTACAAACGTTATGAAAAACCACAATTGTGGAAACAAATTCACGTCTAAAAAATCAACACCTTCACGTCAACGTACAATTTCATCTTACTTGCCACCATCTCAAGAAGATTATTCAACAATAAAAGAACGTATTGTTGAATCGTGCGCCGAGTTTTGTGCACTTGATAATAAAGCATTTGAAACAGTAGCAGGTGATGGTTTTATTAGCTTGGCAAAGCAGCTTATGAATGCTGGTGCTCTTATTGGAACCGGTTTTTCTGTTAATGAATTACTACCACACCCGACTACTGTAACTATTAAATTTCACTTATCAATTGCGTGCATGCTTTTATCATAGGTCTCACGTAATGTAACACGTACTTATAATAAGCTGAAACAACAGCTTATTCTTTTTTGTGGAAATGTGCAACACTTTACAATCACTTGTGACTTCTGGACAGAAAGTTTAACAGGTACATATCCTCATGTGTTTAGTGGAATCAGTCGAGTACAATTATCACTGGTAGAATATAAGTATTGAGAAAAATAAAGAAGAAAATTATCAATAGTTACATCACAGATATGTAAATAAATCAGCTCTTCGTTTATAGTTTTTAAGACAGAATTTATTTCTTTTTTAGAACTAGAATCTTAGATTAGTAACGTCATGTTCAGGGGTTAAATATTCTATTTGATTCTCTTTTGATACAGGTTTACATTATGGTGGCATCAGCCTGCATTTCGTTGATGTTGGTTTTAATTTACAAATGTTTATATTAGCTTGCAAGCTATATGATCTTCCAAATCAAAAGGCATATAATATACGTGATTTTGTGAATATTGTAGTTGAAGAATTTGGTCTGAAAATAAATGAAGATATATTTATAGTGTCGGACAACGAGCCGAAAATGGTTGCTGCATTCAGGGATGGTGTTATTCGAATTGGTTGCAGCGCTCATTACATTAACAAGGTTATTCAACATGCATTTGAATTGGAAGAACCTTGCTGTTCTGGTGTTCAAGCATTATTTTCACTTGTTCGAGATATAATCACTTATGTTCGTCAAATTCATAAACAATCATCATTATCGATATGTGTTCAAAATTATTGTAAAGTACGTTTTAGTAGTGTGTATATTATGTTAAATACATTTGTTATGGTTTACAACGAGTTACCATCTATATTGAATACTACTCAAAGGCAAAATTATTTGAAAATTAATTATGTCGAATTGGAGCAATTAACAAGATATTTGAAATATTTTCATGATGTTATAGAAAAACTTAGCTGTGAACGCACACCAGCAATACACCTAGTGGTTTCGTACAAACAGTTTTTATTGAATAAATCGAATGAGCATGATGATGATTGTCTTCATTTAGTCCAATTAAAACGTTACATATCGAAACATCTTAACGATTATTGGATCATACATGACATACATTATATAGCCATGTTATTACATCCTAATTTAAAAAGCTATCAGCTTATACCAGATAAAAAAACATGCTATTACATTAATGAAATTACAAATTGATGCATTAATTGATCCACTTGTTATTCAGCCAGTGCTGTCAACAGTAACAAATAATAAACCCAAAAATAAAGTGAGAAAAACAATGCATTCAACAAATACATTAGATGAAATATTTGATGTACCAGATAAAGAAGATAATATACAACAACAACCACTTGATAGAACAGAATTTGATAGATATTTGGGAGATGAAACAAGAATAGATAATAATACGAATATTTTAACTTATTGGCATTTAAATAAATCTATATATCCTAATTTAGCTCGACTAGCTAAACGGATTTTGGCTATTCCTGCTACAAATACGACAATCGAACGTTTATTTTCTGATAGTGGTAACACCATAACTGATCGTAGAACACGACTAGATACAGATAAAATTAATAATTTGTTATTTATTAAGAGAAATATGCGTGTTTTAAGAGATATTTATCCATCTGTTGTTGAAGTGTGCAGAAAAAGAAATCATAGTTTAACTTCAACTGATTCAACACCTACTGCAACACCAAATAAAAAAATTAAATTGATCGCTAGAAGTCCAGAATTACACGAAGAAACAGCTGATGAAAATGATGACGATGAATAGTTTTAAATACAGCTTCCAATATTTTTTTTTCTGTAATTCATTTAGATAAGTTTTTGTCATAAATATAAAGTAAAAAGTGTATAATGTTTTGATATAACAATTCTGAAATTCGGGACAAAATTATTTTTCGAATTGTCCCGATCCCGTTTGTCCCGTCCCGAAAAATTTTCGGGACAATCCCGTTTGTCCCACGGGACATGAAAAGCGGGATTTTTCGGGATTCGGGACTGTCCCGCAGGACTCTAGTTGTGAGACCATTCCACGTTGCATCTATGACTACCATTACTGCCAGTGGATATCTTCTTTTCATGTGAACGCCGTTGTTCTCATCTGCTTCTGGTCAACTACTGGCCCATACAATATCGTTGTGTGAATTGAAAAACCCATTATGATTCGACATTTTTTCATTGGTGAAGATTCTTGTTCGCCGATATAAACATTTGACATTTTTTAAAATTCGAGCACAGCACCGTTTTCTTTGAAATTTATGGTGATCTTGTAGTTGTTGAGTGCTAATTTTTTGGTAGCATTTCTTTTTTCGATTTTCTTTGAGTACTCGAAGGATCGCTGATTTGTGACTGTTAAAGTCTCTGGCCGTTAATCGTGAACTTTTTCTTTTGAACGTAATTGGTTTTGCTACAAAATTGATCGATCCTTTTGTGCCCTCCACTTTGATTGCTTATAACGAAATATTTTGCTTGGTACTTATTCGTAGATAAATCAATGCGTTAAAATATAGCTTTACGAATTCACTGATGTTTATTTGAATAATAAGATGAATACACACAATGAACAATAAATTGGTATAAATGAGATTAATTGAGCGTTGAGACGTACACCATAAAAGAATGATTGTGATACAACAGTTCCACTGTAATGATCCCTATCTTTCCTTTAATATGTCTAGTTACGTAATTACTGTTTCTAATCTTCTAAGTATTCTCCTTCTTGTTACTATCCTAACTAAAAAGCTGTTAGCGCAATCCCTTTGGGATTAAAATGTGAAACACGATGTAAGTGTTAATTCTGACCAGAAATACAAATTATTCTATATATTTCTGAATTTTTTCTTTCATTTTACTTTAATGCACCACCTACAAGTGAAAAATGCAAGTAGGTCATAAATTTGCTGATATTGTAGCATTATGTGTTCCTTGACAGTACGAAGACGTCCACTACTATTCATCAAAGTATATCATAAGTGTTACTATCTATCCACCCTGCATTTGCTAACGCGTTTGTGATAGTTCCAACGCCTATATATTAGGGTCTGTTATCGGTAATTAGCTAATTCATCAATTAAAATATATGTGGAAGTAGTCCAACTGTGTACCCTTAACACCTCAATACTGCTTTCCGCTTGACTTCGACAAAGCACCTCTGTAACGCTCTGTGATGGATAAATCGCCTGTCTAGAACGATTTGTGATGATTGAATCACCTCACTGTAATGATCTGCAATCAGCGAGATTTACCCACCACAGACCGTTACCGACAGGTAGATTGTCCGTCACAGACCGTTACTGACAGATGATTTCCTGTCGGTAGCGGTCTGTGGGGGGGGGGGGTGCAAAATTTCTACCCTAAACACTTCAACACTCCTTTTCAGGTCGTGTTTCACAAAAATGCCCACCTATTCCACCAATCTCTGGTCCTTTTATACTGTTACAGAAGGGAAGTGCGCGTTATATAACGAGTGACCACTGCTATGTCTATGCAAATGTCTATTCATAATCATACACCGATATATAGATTTCTTTGGTGATTGGTATGAGCTTATGTGATCAAATGATGTTATACTCTCTCCGAGGACATCTTGATAATTTTCCGTGAACATTCTGATTTGTTGTGAAATCTCCAGGTAATTCTACGGCAACTTTTGTAATATGTAAGTGCACTCGCTTACTACTCTAATTATCATTCTTACGAACAAAAGGAAATTCTATAAAAAGGAAACGTAAATCTGTGAATAAGGAAGGATGTACATATCTATAACAAAAATGGGATATGTGATTTTCTGAATATCTGAAACGGTAAATTAATGACACACTGCTTCCTATTGTTTTATCGGTAAGAAGAGAGCCACTCTGATCATTTCTTCGTATCCAGCAATAAATCGTTGCACGATGAACTTTTTTCGCTAAAAAATTCACGATTTCTGAAGCTTTTCCACATTCTTGTAATGGGAAATAGCAATATCGCGTAGGTCAGTAGTTTTAGTCATCTAAGAAAATCCGACAGGGAATTGAAAGAATATTTCATTATTAGCCTTCTAGAAAATTTGATGGCGCATCTTTAAAAAAAAACTTGGGGACTAAAGTCTTTTCTTGAACTAAGATATTCACAAAACAAAAGTGTCACACTCACTTTGGTACACCCGATATAAATATGAATTTTGTTAAAATAATCAAAATTTCCACAGAACTGCGGGATAAACCGCATCAAAGATTTGATCAAGTTGAATTTGTTAGCTAGTTATAAATCGAGCTAGAGGTTATAACTAGTTCAACATTTTTGTCGTTTTGCTCAACTATAAACTTTTAGAAAAGTAGTTTCGACTGCCAAAGCGGTTTCCTTATATGTGATAATTTTTCACAGTGAAACAAAAGCTTCTTGTTCGCCACGAGCTGTTCCAATAGCAGGGTAATATATTATGTACTCTTTAAACCAGAGCTGCCCAATCAGGAGATTGGGCAAGGAGGTTCCTGATTTCTTCAGATATCTTGAATTTTCTCATTTTAAATTTGAGTGAAACGATAAATCATTGAAACACGCCAATAAAAGGTTCTGTTGGTCTGTATAAAGTAAGTTTATGACTTTACTAGGCAATATTACCACTTGAGAGAATGTCTGATACTCTTTCACTAAAGCAATTCATAAGATGATAGCTACTCTATGATCACCATATGCTATAGTAAATAATTTCTATTAGCTAATGTTCAGTAGGAGATATCAATTCTTATCTAGCATTTGTTCTCAACACTATTGTCTTGTTCTATGAATGAACTTGAATTTGACTAGCGGTCTAGCAGAGGTGCGCGGGGCAGGAATTTTCGTGCCCCACGGGTCTCGCCCCGTCGATCCCCGCAAGTCAAATTGTGTGAGCTCCCCCGCCCCGCTCGCCTCCCTACAAACACTCACCCGTCCCGTCCGCACCCGTGCGCCCAAAGGTGCCGCATCGCCCCGCCCGTATAACCCGAAGAAATTTTATTTTCAATAGTCTGGTTGTTTTAAAATTTAAATTATTTATTGTACAAGTAACGTGAATCGAAAATCGAATCACTGGGCCCTAGACTGACAGAACTTACACGTTCAAATATATGAACAGGGAACGAAGTCGGTTGTTTCTGTCACCGATCCTGAGATTTCTGAAGCAACCACTAGATAAGTTCAAGTGGGACGAGGAAGACAAAGAACGAATGAGTGAAGCTGGGATACCGATGGGACGAACAGGAAAAATTTCCAAGAATAATAACTAAAAACACGCATCCAAAAATCAACGCGAAAGACAGATGCGAAGGAGTGCTCAAACCCTGATTTTGCTTTAGGTACGGCGAGGAAGCTCGTGGTCTCCTAACTAATAGAATACACTGCTGATGCTGACAATTCTCACCGGGGGACTTAAATATCTTTCAGAGGGCAAGAGGTTCAGTTTCGTCTACTGAAGCACGCCGTTCAGAAATTTAGTGATGGAGGGATCAAGGTTCATTTTAGGAACTGCGGCTGCCCTCTTCATCTGTACTGTCTTTGGAAGTGACTAATCCTCGTGGCTCTTAAGTGAATCTGCCAACAATGTATGCCATGAAACTGATCATTTGTGTCATTGTTACAGACAGGCAGACAAATAGACAGACACAGGTTAATTACTGGTTCTAAATCCTATCCTTTCAGTGTAGGGAACAGAAATACAAATATCTAAAAGCTGTAAAAAGATAATATTCATCGAATGCAGATTCACTTTATCGTAGGCTGCTGAGTGTTAAATGTATTAGATTGACCAAAGAACTGGATATTTGGAAAAAAGTAATTGCTAAGCTCTAATAGCTCGGTTTTTTTACACTGACGGCATTCACGAAAATCATGAAGTTTCGCTACTGTTCATAGTTAGGATATCATTCACTGACAATGTGAAAAGGAATTTAGATTTAAATGTAGAAACGTCTCGTCTTTTTGTTGGAACAGCTTAAAAACATTAGTCAATGTCAATTTCATATACGGTACAAAAGTTATTCTTCATCCAAAAGATCATCTGGAGAGCATAAGCGGCTCAAAGCCGATGCAGGCGTAACATTGATTTTTTTAAAAGGTCTGGCAACCATGGCACACGGCTATTAATCCAGTTGTCGTGTCTGTTATGTCTTCTTCTCGCTCACATTATTATACTCAGTTATCAGCGAGACAGCAACGTGATGGTATGACAACAGAACGGAACAAAAGGATAATCCCCCTTCGCATGGAATCGAACCATGCACCTCCTGCTTTCCGGGCAGACGTATTAACCACTGTACTAGAAAGGAGTGTGCATTATTCGTTTGTTCCGTCTTACGATCGAAGGGGAACACTTCGGTCGTAACAGTGTCGATCCCACACCGTCATAACAGTGCTCCATTGATGAGAACATCGAAACCAGAGAAGGTTTCTAACATTCGCCGAATATAGCCTATTTTAAGTTAGAAAACGTTTCAAAATGATGATTTGCGATCAATAGAGATTCTTACTGGTTGATCGTAAAAAAACTAATTTTCAGAACAGAATTCGATATCTCTTCGCTCTAAGGTCGAAGAAGATTAAGGTTCGGAAACGATCTGATGATTAATTTTGATCAATTCCGAGTAAGAATTTTATAGCCGCATACAGCGTAATTTCTGTTAGTTGCTATATTCGAATCATTTTTCGTACTTGTTTTCGCACTATGAGTCGAAAAGAAAGCAATGCTTGATAGCAAAAACGGAGAAACTATGAGTCTTACCGATGTTGATCGCGGTCACGCTCTAACCTAGC